TTAAATTGTTGTGCCCAACAGCTGGAATCATGAGGAGGAGCAGGAATAAACCATTTCCAGCAGCGTTTGCAGTGGGGGCCCAGGGAGGGTATCTCTGTTAATTCCCACTTTGAAGCCCTGTGGGCATCCACAGCCTGGGTAAAGGTGTGGTCTTGCCCAAAATTCCCCCAGTGCTGGCATGGACCCACCTGCGGGTGCAGGAAACATTAAACCCAGCAGTGACAACCCTTTTATTTTTATTCACATACATGATGAGTTCATGGTTAAGCACAAATCTTTTAGCGCCAGTGAATTTGCTTCATTAAAAAATTCCCCTTGCAGTTGTGCTGCAACTGTTTATCTGCTTTTAATTTTCTTTTTTCTTTTTTTTTTTTTTCTTTTTTTTCCTGTTCTTGTTATTTTTAAATGAACTTTCAGATGTCATTATTTCTTCGAGGCTGGAGTGAAATGAGAAAGTACCTGAAAGGGTTTAGGGTGCCAGCCTAATCATTGAATCCGGCCTTGCTGCCTGAAAATTTCAAAGCTTTAAAGCCTTGAAAAGGGATTCAAGTGGAACTGGTGACACGTAGCAGCATAAATAATTATCTTTGGGCCCTTTCACCTCTGAATTCTTTTTTTATGGCATACAGAACATGGTCTGAAGAGGTTAATAAACGTGCTGCTGCAGAGTGCTTACAAAATTAATGCAGCTGCCATGGATCTGGGGGGCTCCCTGGGAGTGGGGCTTTGCTGCCTTCCAGCTCTCCCAGAGAACCAAAGAATGAGCTTGCTGGGGTGGTGCAGGTGTTGGGCAGTTTTTTCCAGCCCGGAGCAGCACAAAACGGAGCGTCCACATCCACGGCTGCTGCAGCACTACCAGACCTCCGCTTTGTCCTTCCCTGCTGATGGTTTGGAAGGGATTTTTAAGGGATGTAGACAACTTGTTTCCTTTTTTAATTGAGTCATCAAGGCTGGAAACAAACCTTCCTTGCATGGGCAGGCTGCAAGAGCCTCCCTGGCAGGTCTGCTCACCAGCTCCACGGTTTCCGTGGTTATCCCAGCCACCGTGTGCTGTGATGAAGAGAGATTTCTCTTTTAAAGGAAGGAGCCCCTTTTTCCCTCCACACCCAAAATCCCCGAGTAAAGAGCAAATCAAGCCTGTAGCTGGTGTTGGTGCATCACCTTTAATTAACTTGCTGGTCTCTGCAATGTACCAGGTTTGGAAATAATTTTAAATGCTTCGGGGGGCTCTGCGAAAATTTCAAATGGATTTTCTCTTTGGATACTTGATGTACCAAATGCCTGAATTTAAGTACAAATATACATCTAATTTGGAGTAATTTCCAAAGTGGGATTCAGATCCCTTTGACCTCTTATTAGGGCAAACAAGTGCTGGAAAGCGCCTCTTCTGCAACAAATACAGCTTTCGTTTTTCCTTAAAATACTTTTGTGTAAAAATGCTGAGTGTGAGCTGCCCCATGTCCCTGGCTCCAACATTTGTGTCTTTGCTGCAGACAGAGCACAGCAGAGGTGTCACATATGGGTGACACATATCCACCCCGCAATGCTGGCTGGGGGTGGATTTATTTGGGATTCCAAAGCTGGTGCTGCGCAGCTCCGCTCTGCACCAGGGGATCCAGCCCCAGCCTGTGTTTCTGAGAGACTCCACAGCTGGGTGAGGGATGCTTAGCCCTGCCCCTGGCACCTCTCCGTGCAGAGGATGTTTTGTCCCTGTTCTGTATGGCGCCTCAAGCTCACCCCACTTGTGCTGCTAATCCCAAAAATAAATGCTTGCTTTTGTTTGTTTGTTTGCAGGTGTATGGCCCCGGGAGGCCCTACCCGCTCCCACCTCCTGCAGGAAGGTACAGCTGGAATTAGCTCCTGCCTCCTGGTTTTTTTGAAACATGGAAAACGTCTGGGTTTTTTGCTTTTGTTCTTTTTATTATTTGTGGAGCAACGGGGGGGGGGGGGGGGAATGAAGCTGTTAAGCACCGTCCTTGTAGTTTTTAAACAGATGCCTGTTTTAAATGTGCACATTTCTTACGGACCTGATGATGATTTCTTGGGAGGGACTGGAAGGAGCGGATTGCTGTCAGATGAGGTGGGAGTGCTGCATTGTCCTTACATATCCACGCTGTGCCGAGCACTGCCTGAACATCTGAACTCCAAACATCCTCTACTCCACATACAAGAGCCTGAAAACAGACACAGAGTTGGAAAGAATGCCCAGAAATGGGATTTTATGAACTCTCGGGGCAGACTCAGCAGGCAGTCAGTGGCACGGAAAGACACAGCCCTTGCTGCTCCTCGGCAGGTGCTTCCTTCAGTTTTTTGGACTCTGAAGTAAATTTTTTTATGTGTGCCTGTTTCTGAGGTGGGTTTTGTCGTGGCATAACCAGGCAGGGGCCATGGGTTTGTCTGTTTGATACCTAATTTTAAATGGCTGTGAAGAGCAGAAATTCCATTAGTTTTTAGCAGTCTTTCTAGGAATTTTCTGTGTGAGTGTACCAAATCAGTAAATATTTTTATTTGCTTTATAAACTGGCTTTTGAAATTGTGAGCAGTGGTGTTTGGTTAATTTCCAGCCCCCTCCAGAGCCTGTTTGTTTCTTTTACCTGTGTACACACATTCCTGTTGATTTATTGGAAAGCAATTCCTCCAACCTCTAGCATTTAAAATCTTTGTTTAATTTAAAAAAAAAAAAAAAAGAAACTGAGGAGAGCATCTAGTTCAGCTTTCCCTTTGGACTTTTCCATTAAATCCAGGTATTCTGTAAATCAGTAAAGTTCCCAGCCCCGCTCTTGCCCCGACTCCTTGATGCTCCCTTCTTTCCAATCATCCAGGTATTAATCACTAGCAACTGGGGGGAAAGCCTTGACACCCCCGTTTAACCTTGGAAGGAAGAAATCATCAGCCTGGCTTCATTATTTTCAAGTGATGGAAGGTGGAGCAGAATCCTTCATTGTGATGCGGTGTTCATGGGCTGGGAGCTGCCAGCCCTCCCCAGGACCTTCTCCCGTGGCTGGGAAAGGATTGGGATGCTCTAAAAGAGGCATTTTGCTTTTCCAGCAGGACAAAAACAGCTCTGAGGGTGCATTTTCATGGGAATGGGCTGAAGGAGGGAGTGGGGTGGGTCACCTATGTTCCAAAGGTGGATCGACCCGGGTGCTGTTGGCTTTGTCCCTTGTTCCCATTTTTTGGGGCACAAAGACTCTGGGTAAACACTTGTGGGGCTGCTGTGGGAAAGGCTCATCCCTGCAGGTTTCACCTTGCCCAACCCTTCACCCCCCTTGCGGTCTGATCCCAAGTGGAGCCAGCCTGGGCCCTGGGAGCTGCGCTGCTCACTCGGACCCTCGGAGCGATGCTCAGAGCAGCACACTGGCTTAGTTTCCTCAGCTCTGATGCAGGGCTGGGATGCAGGACCTAGCCAGGCAGCACCATCTTTCCCGGGGCTCTGCTTCAGTTGCATGTGCCCCCAGCTGCTGGAGGGCCTGGGGGTCACCCTGGGACAGCAATCCTGTGGTGTTCCTCAGGCTATTTTTCTGACAGATAAATTTTTTTCCCCCAGTCTGGGGCCGAGCCCTATATATCCCCTTACATTTAAGAGAATTTGAGGCGGAAACCACTCACCGGGCTGGGCTCAGTCCCACCCCAGACACTGTGAGACCCAGCAGGGAGAAATTCTCCCTCATGGAAAGGGGAGGGAGCTGGGGGGGGGTCGTACCCGTGTGGCACCTGCCGGGAGGGAAAGGGAGTCTCTTTCCAGAAGAACAGTGGAGATTTCCTTCCTCTCCAGGTTCCTGCATGGGGCTTGGGGAGAGGTCTGGGAGCGGGTCTGTTGTCTTGCAGAGGCCAAAATCCCTATTTTCCACCTCAGAATCGTTCCTTCATGGCACAGCTGGGAGTGGAGTGACCCCCGGGGCTGGGGAGCCCGGCCAGGGTTGGGGTTCAGTGGGTCCCCCAAGGATGGGAAACCCTGGCAGAGGCGGGGGAGCACAGAATTAAATTTTGACAGCTGACAGGGAGGCAGAAAAAGGGATTTTGAGGTTGTCCTTCAGTCCATACACCGAGAATGAAGCAGCTGACTCGTGAGAACAAGGCTTCCTTTTATTGTTTAAAATAAAATTAAAATAAAAAATAAAAGAAAGAAAACTTGCCGGAAAGTCCCGAGGAGCGTTTCCCGACGTGCGGGATTTCCTCGGAAAATGGTGCGGGGATAAACCCCGCTCCGGCGCAGCGCATCCTCCGGCACCGGCTGCTGCGGGGTCTGATCCCGGCAGGAAGCGGGATCCAGCCCCGAGAGTCACCGGGCTCTCCGTCACCTCCGCAGGGCTCTGAGCTCGTCAGGAGCTTAGCCAAGGGCCGGAGGCTTGAGGCGGTTCCGCGGGACGCGCGCCCCGTCCACGCACGGACATTCATTAACTGCACGGTATTTAATAACAACGAGAAAAACGGGGTTTTCCCCTTAAATCCGAGCACCGGCGCTTCAGGGCTCTCCTGCCACAGCTCCCGCCTCAACTGAGCTGCGACTCAATTTACCTCAGATAGCGGTAAGAACGGAATGGCATTCCGGGGCACCCCCACGAAATTAATTCGGCCGAGATGAGTTGCGCTTCAGAGGATTTACTGTGGCGCTCCGCGGAGCTGTCGCGGTACGCGCCGGGGCTCCCGGGCTGCGCTACCGCCGGGGAGAGAGGCCGGGCCGGAGCGCGGCCCCGCGCTGCCCTGGCTGCCCTTGCCCCGTCGAGAGGAGCTCTCCGCGGCCGGGACACGGAGGCCGGACACGCGTGCATACCAGCACTCACACAATTCACACTGACGCACACTCACGCAAGCACTCGGTGCTGTCGTCGGGGCCGTTTGTCCAAAAACAGGAGAGACTTAAAAAAAACTCGGAAGGGAGGCTGGGAGGGGACCGGGGGTCAGGCGGCCGTCGGCGATCCCCGCGGGTACCGGGCAGGGCGATGCGTCCGGTGCCGGAGGAGCGGGGCTGTCGGAGGAACGCGCACGGGACGCACCGATTACCACGTCCTGCCGTAGAGCAGGTTGGGGCTGACCATGCCGCCGTTGTAGTCGACGCCGGCCGAGTCCAGGGGGGCCAGGGGAGCCACGGGGCCGTGCAGCGCCGGCGGGCTGGGTGACAGCTCCTCCAGGTCGGCCGCCTGCCCCAGCGAGCCGGGGTGCGGGTGCGCGGCGGGCGCGGCGGCGGCGGGGGCGGCGGGGGCGACCGGCCCGGGGCCCGGGGTGCCGTTGCCCGGCGGCGGGCAGGGTTTGCCGTCCTTCACCAGCACCGGCACGGCCACGCGGCGCGGCGAAGGCTGCTGGCACAAGCCGCCGCCGCCGCCGGCGCCGTCGGGGTGTAACTGCTGGGCGGCCGCCTTGTCCTTGGCCTGGCGCTTCATCTTGTAGCGGTGATTCTGGAACCAGATCTTCACCTGCGTGGGGGTCAGGTGGATCAGGCTGGCCAGGTGCTCCCGCTCCGGCGCCGACAGGTACCGCTGCTGCTTGAAGCGCCGCTCCAGCTCGTAGACCTGAGCCTGGGAGAAGAGCACCCTCCTCTTCCTCCGCGGCGCCGCGTGCAGCGGCACGATGGCCTTGGCACCCTCGGCGATGCCGCTCAGGCCGCCCATGCCGGCCACGTTCATCCCCGCCGACGGGCCCATGAACCTGGAGACTGAGCGGGACGGCATGCTCAACGCCGGCCGGCGCCCGCCCCGTCGGGGCGCTCCCCCCGCGCCTGGCCGCCCCCCTTCTCCTCTGCCGCGCCCCCCGCGCCCGCACTTACTGCTGGAGTAGCGGGGGTCGCCGGCGGGCCCGTACCAGCCGCCTCCCGCCGCCGCGCCGCCCCGCATCCCCTCGGGGTAGGCAGGCAGCTCGCCCACGTTGCCCAGCCCGCCGTTGCAGTAGCCCCCGACGGCGCCGTGCGGAAACTGCGAGACGCCGTGGGGCATGTGATAGGCGGCCGCGCCCGCGGGAACGTGCTGCGGGACGGCGGCGGCAGCGGGGGCCACGGACGCCTGGCGGTACGGCCCGAGGGCCGCGCCCAGCCCGCCCGCCCCGTCCATGCCGCCGAACTTCTTGTAGCTCTCCTCCATCGGGCTGAGGATATCGGTGACCGAGAAGGGCGTCGTGTGCCTGGGGCTCAGCGACATGGCGCGGCGGGACGCGACGGGGCGGGCCGGGCCAGGCGCTGCCGCCGGCACCGCCGAGCCGTCCGCGGCGGCGGCCACCAGCCCCGGGAGCCGGTAGCTCGCCGGTTCTTTTAGCCCGGCGCCGGGTTTACGCCAGACGCGGGGGGGCGGAGCGGCGGCGGGCGGCCCCGGCCCCTCCCCGCCTCCCGCCGGCCCCCGGCCCCGGCCCCCTCCTCCCGGCCATTGTCCTGCGCCCGCCCGACGGCTCTTAAGCCCAACCACGCCAGGGCAGCGCCGAAGCGGCTCCGAGCGGCCCAGGCCCCGGCGCCCTCGCCCGTAAGTACATGCCCGGTCTCCCGATCCCCTCTCCACAGTGCGCGGCCACACCCGGTCAGAGCGTCCCGGGGCGGCGCGGCCCCCGCCCGGCCCCGACGGCAGGAGCCGGGCAGCCCTGTCCCGTCTCCTGGCCGGCCCCGGCCCCGCTCCCGGCCCCTCGGAGCCGCTGTTACGGGGTGCGAGGCCATCGGGGCCCCTTTAGAGCCGATGCTTCGTTTGCGATTGTGTTTTCGGATTTTTTTCGGTCGTTCTTCGTTTGTTCGTTGGTTTTGGTGCAACGAAAGGCTCCCCCGGGGCAGCCCGAGCCCGCGGGCGGGGTCCGGGCCGGCTGCGGAACTCGCTCCCCCGCAACGGGAAACGGCTGCGGAGCTCCTCGCCCGGGACCCCCGCGCCCGTCGGGGCAGCTCCGCGGGGCCGCTCCCGGGGCCGCGGGGCTGAGCGGGGTCTCTGCCGGGCTGAGAGGCCGGGGCGCAGCCAGACCCCACGGCCAAAGCTGTTCCCCGCTCCCCAGGGCCGGGCACCGCCGCGACGGGGCGGGCGGAGCCCGGGTGCGGGGAGATGTGCCCGGTGCGTACCCAGGCGCGCCCGGGCCGTGCGCGGGGACGCGCGGGGCTGCGCCTTCCCCACAAATTGATAAAACTCGGTGTGTTCAGTGAGCAGCCTCCCTCCGGAGCGGCACCGCTTCCCGAGCTGCTGCCGGTGTCTGTGCAGGGACTCCCCTCTGCGGGGACTGAGGTCCTTTTTGGGAAGCCAGGGATATCCCACACCCTCCAGACTGGACCCTTCCCTTCTCAAACCCCATTTTATCCCTGATATTTTTGGAGGCTCTGCAGCTCTGTGGTGATTGTTAAAAATAAAAGATCAGAGCAAGCACGGTTTTGCGTTTTAAACTTTGTGCTCCGCACTGAAACTCTGAGGCCCCGGCGAGGGTCAGGAGTTAAACGGGTCCCGAATCTCCACGCACTGCCGTCCATATACTGCCTTCCCGACAGTTCTATTCCGTTGCAATCTTCCCACCATTCGGGCAGAATTCCTAGCACCTCCATCCGTTTTTTTCCCCTGCACTTCTCTTCCCCTCCCCACAATTTAAAAAAAAAAAAAAAAAAAAAAAGCCTCTCTACATCCTTGTGGGAGCAGCAGAGCAGCACAGGGGCTGACCTACGAGTGGGCACACTGCTGCACCTCAGAGCAACCCAGGGCAGGACACAGCTCTGTCCCTGGGGTCAGGTCCCCAGCACAGTCACCAGTGGTACCAGTGAGCTGCTGAACCATGTTTGAGCCCAGCTCATTCTTCATTAGTCTTTCTCTAATGGCTGATTATTTTATTTTATTTTATTTTATTTTATTTTATTTTATTTTATTTTATTTTATTTTATTTTATTTTATTTTATTTTATTTTATTTTATTTTATTTTAATGTTATTTTGGCACCTGGAGTTTTCCATCCCTACTGGAGCGGGTCCCCTCCTTTCTGGGGCTCACACTCCAGGAAGGAGCTGCTGAACCCTCCCTCCTCCTCGGACACAGAGGTGCCCGTGTGCTGTTGGGGCAGGGGGGCCCTGCAGAGGGGATCAGGCTGGAGTCCCCCAGCCCTTCAGAGAGAGAGCTCTAGCAGGAACCTGCAGCTTGGCAAAGCAGGAACCGTGCCCTGGGGATGGACGGACGGATAGACGGATGGACAGATGGCAGAGCGTGGTGTCCTTGCTTCCCTCTGGGAAGGGAGAGGCTGCTCCTGTGCTGTAGGGATGATTCCCTGCAGGCCACTGGGGCAGTTTGGGATCTCAGCGAGGCCTCAGTGCTGCTTTGGGGGCAGACCAGACAGAATAAGGTGAAGGACTGAGAGGGACTGGTCCTGTTTGTGTCAGACTGGCCCTGTAAGCTGGGCTTCTGGGATGTGGCACCAGTGAGGTGGTTTGTAGGGATTCAGGGAACAGGTGTGGTACCAGCTTCTGCTCACAGCCTCTGCACACACACCAGGACCCTGCACTGGGCACCTGGGGCACAGGGGGGAAAATCTGGCGAGGGTGCCCCAGGACAACAGCCCAGGAAGGGGGAGCCAGGGGGAAAAGGGATCCTGAACACCAGAGCTGCCCCCAAACCCTGCTGCTGGAGCTGGGATGAGGAGCGACGTGGAGCTTTCCTGGCACAGGGCTCCTGAGGGCTGGGGAAGGTCCCTGGGGCACAACAGGGGCTGAGCCAGGCCTCTGCCCACCAGAACACCACTCACCCTTAACCTGGGGCCAGAGGCATCGCTGCATCCCCTGATGGAGCCCAAGGAAAAACACGGCCCAGGTGTAGCTGGTAGAAATGCAGCCAGCAAAATGCCTCGTGGCCATTTTGCACTGAAAACACCCCAGAATTTTCCCCACATCCATAATGTGATGTTTGGGATAAAAAGCACCACATCGTTTCGGTGGTGAGTATAAAGAAAATAATTTTGATGTGGCAAATGTCTCACAAAAAACCAACCCCCTAAACTTGAAATCTTGCTCACTTATAGAATGTGTTTTTCTAACCTAACCCTCCATCACCTGGAGGTTCCACACAAAACAGGATTTCTTCCTTCCCTACCCTGGGAGGATCACGCTGCAGATTCCAAGTGAAGTAGTTGAAAAGCAAATTTAAAAAAACCCCAAAACAAACAAAACAAAAAACAAACAACAAAAAAATATCCGAACGAACAACTCAAAAAAAACCAAAACCAACCGAACAAAAAAAGCCAGATACATAGGAAATGCAACAGCAAAGAACCAAGAAGCCAAACTCTTGGGTTTTAATTTTTGGGGGTGTTTTTCCCTGCTCCCTGATTGCCCCCATTCCGCTGAAGGTCACCTGGATCCTGGGCTGTGCAGAAGTTATTTCCAGGAGTGCAGATGTTATTTCCCAGCCCGGCTTGTCTCCCGGATAATAATGACATATTCGGGACTCATTTCCACACATAAGTTGTCCTTTGCTGTGTGAGAGCCCATGCCTGTCACAGCAGAGGTGTTGACCTCGGTGAGCCACAATTGACACGAAGATGGAGGCTGATTTTTGGGGGGGCGTTTTTCAATAATCCAGTATAAATGCTAATTTATTTCTCAGTCCAAAAGCGATGGTTTCCTCTAAATAATCAGCGGCGGCCTCTCTCTGCACAGTGACAGCGCTGGGGGGCAGTTTGCCTTGATTCAGCTCACCAATAATTTGCACAGATTAAAAGGGTCTCGGAAATGGAGGCTTAAGGAATTGCTTTCTAAAGGCGTCGCGAGATTGGAAAAGGAACCCGGGGTTTCCAGCGCTCTTTAAAACCATTTCCACGCAAACCCCCGAATGAGGAGTTTGAAGTCGTGCTAAAGGGGCTGTTCACAGGGAAGGCAACAAATTAACCCGGTGCAGGGACACCGCCGCTCCTGTGGCCGCCTCTCCCTTGCCTGGGGAAGTCGAGCCTTGAACAAGGAACTGCGGGCTGGGATGCCCGGCAGGAATGCTCATCAGGAATGCCCACCAAGAACGGCTGGCGGTGGCTCGGCCGCACCAGGAGACACTGTGACAGGTCTGGTCTACTCTAAAGTCAGGTTTAGGGGGTGTTATCTCCCTGTCCACCCGCAGGGTTCCCTGCCCCTCTTTATATGATGATAACTGTCATGGCGTAATGTTTATCCTTGTGGCTGTAGATTTTAGTTATGCGGCTTTTTTGGGATAACCACCCCCCACCCGCTGCCAATAAATATATTGGTCTCACATACCCTTCCCTGGAATTCCTGCTTGTTGGATGGATGTGTTTTCCCATGGGGCTTGAGTGGCAGAGAGGGGACAAGCCTGCTTTTATTCTGCCTGTGAAAGGGGGTGTTTCCAGATACTGAGCTCTCAGGCAAATGTCTTGTGCCCTCAGATCCAGCTGGGAAAAGTTTCTAGAAAGGGAAAAGTGTGTGGATGTGAACAAAGCAGGTTCCAGTGTGGGCAGCAGGAAAGCTAAATATCCCAGAGCTGCTTTTAAGGTTTTCCCAATTATTGAGGTGGCAGAAAATACTCCAGTAATAATCCTGAGGCATCTCCTCCAGCTTTTCCTCAGATAACAGAACACAGGTGTTTCTCTGACACCACAGTGCTCTGTGCCTGGATCCCTGATCCCCAATCCCTGCTCCTTTATCCCTGCCCCATTCCTGCCTGGCAGCAGCGTATGCCACTGTCTCCTTTGTGCTGGGCCCACTGCCTCTCTCCCTTTGTTGAGGCTGTGTTTTTCATTCCATATTGTTTTCCCAGTTTTAATTATTCGGAATAACAAGGGTGGCTTTCCCTGTGGCTGAAGCATGGGTGAAGGAACACCAGGAAAATCTGGGCTCCTGAGTTACTCCCAAGTCTAAATTCCCTCCTGGTTTTTGCTGCTTGTGACTGCTCCTGCCTTTGGAATGGGAGCCCTTCCACATGGCCCATGGATGTTTTTCCATGTGGGATCACCATGGGATTCCTGCCCGGTTTGGGACAGAAGGGACTGGAAGGATCCTCCTGTTCCAAGCTCCCTGCAATGGGCAGGGATGCCAGCTCCAGATTGGGTTGCCAGGGTCCCGTGCAGCCTGGCTTGGAGCACTTCCAGGGTTATCCAGCATCCCCATGCTCTGTGGTAGCTGGGTTCAGTGCATGTCCAGGATGCTGTGCTGCTGCTGGGGACTTGGGGTGATCTTTATCCCTGCGTCTGCTGCCCAGGAGAGATCCTTG